GAAAATGAGGATGATCCTACTGAAGTAGCAGAGACTTCTGACTCCACTAATCACTAAGCTAGTGATCTGGTCTACTTTAGTAGTTTTTGTCAAGGATAATTGGGGTAGTGCTTGTTTAAAGGCCATTGCATTTTGTATTTTGCTTAACTATGCTTCCTATCTTTTGAAGCAATTGAACGTTACTTATGAAGTGCTTGACTTTATTGCTCTATGACTTCAAATCTATGCTATGGGTTGTACACATTTACAATTATTTTGGTGTCTCCCGTATTATTTTCGTTTTGCATGATCAAAGTGTCATTTTCAAATTTCGCTTATGTGTACTTATTTTATGTCATGCCTTTATAAATGTTAAATTTATGGGCGGCCGAAGAAGTGAAAGGGGCCGAGGGCGAGGGGTTAGGCAAACCCAAGTTCAAGAAAATGATTAAGGAACGGCAACTGGACCAAACCAAAATCCTAGGAATGAAGGGGATAACCAAGTAGCTACTGCTATAAACCATATGATTGATATCTTAGCACAGTTAGATGAGTACCAAAGCCCTAAACCAATCAACCAACCTAGGAACCAAGAGAGGTGTGAGAATAGAGCGATTCTTGAAGTTTGCCCATCTAAGTTTCATGGAGGGTCTAATCTTGAAACAATAGAAATTAGTTTGATGGGATGAAATAAGGCACCAATGAGAGTAAGGGGTTAGGGTTTCTTCTCGAGCAACTTTGTAAGTGAGTATTGAAGAATGGGCTAGAGTGTGAAACTTTTATATTAAGGAATAAGGTCTTCGTATCTTGTTATGTTTATAAATGACGATAGTAATCTTGTGGAGACTCAAGAGCTCATCCATACTAAACAGAGAATAGTTAAGATTTATATTCCGAGATAACCTATAAGCAAAAGAATGAAAGAGCAAAATGGCCAGAGTTTTCATTGTGAATAGTTACTCATTTTGATTCCTTGATTTGCCTGGCAGGCTAGCATTTGACTTAAACCAACCTGTGAGATGACAAATTTGGGAGAGATGTATAAGAAAATGGACATTCTTCGAAAGGAGATAGAATTTCAAAAGAAATTGGCTGACTACTGGGACGGACGGTGGAAACAAGAATATGCAGAGAAAATTGAGTTGCTACACAAGAACGTGGAACTGGAGAAGAAATACAAAGAAAATTCTCAAGTTGGTCAGGCCATGATTTCTCGTGTGATTTGTGGATATTGTGGCAAGTTTAATCACACTGAGGCCATGTGTTGGAGAAACATGGGAAATGTCTGAGTTGTGGTAGTGCTGAACATCAGATTTCAAGTTGCCGTAATACCTCTAAAAAGAGGAAATACCCGACAACCTGCTAGATCAGCTACAAAGCAGTTGAGTGCCAAAAGGGGTGATTAATGCTAATGGCTGTGAGAGGGATCCAAGTAGTAAAAACTATGCGAGTGGGGATGGATCTGACTCCACTTGAGCGATTGGGGTTGTAGTTTTACCCTAATCTAGACTGACACTTTTAGAGGTAGTAATCTTTTGTGTAGCGGATAAAGTCCTTTTGTTGTTTTGTACATTTGCGACTTAGCACGTTTTTCTATGGTTTTGTTTGTATCCCCTTTCTTTTGAAATGATTTGATGAATTATCCTCGCTTGGTGTAATTATTATAATCTTGTATGACTTATAAAATTTTACTTTATTTTTAATTGATCTTATGGCTTACATGTATATTTAAACTTGTCCCACACCTTTAGATTGGTGATAAGACATGAACGGTAGTAGACGTGGTCGAGACCGTACTTGAGGGCGTAGACAACCCCAAGGTCTTGGAGGTGACCAGGGATCGGAAGTGGACCAAAGATCGAAAACTTAGGGTTGAAACTGGGACCTAATGTTTGATGGCCAACTTGATATATTAAAATTGTGAGATATGGGTTGGAGAGTGTAAGTTGTTGATCAATTTGATAAACCTAGCTATTAAGAGGTATGATGTTATCCTAGATGTGAATTTCGTCTTTTAAGGAGGGAAGGATATGAGGACCCGAATTTTACTTACTTTTAATTCTATTTTACTAGCTTATTCAATTATTTATTCACCCGTTTTTTCAGAATAATTTATTTCAACCATTTTAAAATCATTTTTTTGGACCGATATCTCAATTATATTTTTAAAACGTCCCGTTAGCAAATTTAATTTTTCTGCAGTTCGTTCAGTAAGGAATAGCGAATGCACGTTTTTTGAGACAATTTCGATCCCAGGGTACATTAGTCTTGGAGAATTAAAAATAATCAATAGTAGATGAAAAAAAGTTAATTGAGGGATTATATGTGAATGAGTTAAAATTTAAGTTTTTTACAGCACGTGCGTCGATAGTTTCTCGAAAGTCGCGCCGGTACGACTAATTGGAGATTTGAGGATTTAGTACTAGATTAATAAGTATGAATAATTACAGTGTTATAGGAATTACCTTGGAGGATTAGTGTTTAAGTGTAGCTAACAAGAGAGAAAGTGTAGTACAAAACCCTATTTAGTTACTATTAAGAGTTGACTTTTGGTACAACTTTAAGTTAACTTCCTCAACACATTTCTTCATTCTTTCTCTCCAAGAATCAAACCACCAACACTCCCTCACCATCTCTCATATTCGGCCAGCCCTAGAAGCTCCAAAGGGAAGAAGAAAACTTCATCTTCTAGCTCCAAGTTTGCTTGCTTTTCATCATCCAACTCACAAACCACTTGGAATTTCACTCTAGTTTGAAGAAAGGTGCTATCTTGTGGAGTTGCTTGGTGAAATTTTGGAGGAACTCTCACTTACATCTAGGGTTTAGTTGCTTGGAAGGTAACCCCATTCACCATCTTTAATCTTTCAATTTATACAAAGATTGATGGCTGGTTTTCATGGGTTTGAAACCCTAATCAAGTTATTAGGTTCGTGGACTTGAGGAAACATTTATCTTGCTTTAAATTTTAGGCTAGCGGTCTTGAGGAGGCCTTTAGGTAGCTGACTTGAAGTCTTATTGCTTGATTGTTGTTGTTTATGTAAATTATAACTTGATTATGGTTTGATAGTGGAGAGAAATTCGAAAGGTGTCTTAGATTTGGTCACTCCCTTAGATTTGGTCCACAACCCCTTCAGAATCTTTGCAACTTTCTAACATCAATTATCCATGCCTTATTATCAAAGGATCTTCAATTTCATGACTCCTTTAGGATAAATTATAGGGGATTATTTTTTGAATGAGACCCAAGAAATGAGAAATATAAATAATTGAAAAATGTATTATTCATCATGCAATAATGCTGATATGGAATAAATAATGATACAGAATAAATGAATAAAATAATAGATAGAATAGCAAAACAAAATTGTTGGATTTATGAACATGGGTCCAAAGATCAAAAGTTGGATACATATTTAGAGGACGGCTTTTGATGAAGAAAAATGCTCCATCTGACCCCTTCGACATCATCCATTTTAGAATTCATTTTCGACAAAAGAACAACAGTAGGAAAGAGACCCAAATCAACATAGTCACCAGCTTTCATAACTCAGCATCTTCTTCTTCATTGATGATCCTCTTGTATTCTGAAACCCTACCTTAGAGCCCTTTCAGGTTTTCACTAAGGTTATCCTGACCCTTTTATTTTTTCTTTTTTTAGTCTTTTTTTTGTTTTTTTTGTTTTATTTTTTTTAAGGTGCCCTTTCAGGATTTCACCTTGAGATATAGATAAGACAATTTTAACCCCAATTGTATCAAGTCAGTCATGTTTTGATAATTAATGGCATCAGTGAGACAATTCTCTCTGATATGTTTCAGAAAAGTTGTATTTATATCATTTGCCAATTGATTAAGAAAAATTTTCCTCAAAATACTACAAAAAGATGAAAGTCAGCAACTTTTGACTCTTTTAATTAGGATCGGATGGAGTATTAAAGGAAAGGTTAAGACTTGAAAGTGAATCATATGATGGGTTTGCAATCATTTGAGATAGTATTCTTTCAAAAAAACTTACTGCGATATAGGGTTGGAAAGAGATAAAATTTTGCCCCGGTTTAATTCTAACCAAACTTGTCTATTTTTCTTTTCTTGTCTTCTTCTTTTTTTTTTTTTTTATTCTCTTCTTTTCTTTTCTTTTCTTTTTTTTCAAAGAAATAAAATTGCCCCAGTATGGGGTTAGTGATTTTAAGGGACTGCTAAGCGAATAAGGAAGGTTGTTCTGAAAAGTCAAAAGGAAAAAATTAGGGATATGATATCGAAATGAAAAAAGGAGAGAAAGTCTGGATTAAATCCGTTTCTTGCAGTAATTTTAAAGAAAAACTTTATAATCAAATGAAAAACTTTTTGCACATGTTTGCATTGATTGGTTGTGAAAAAACTTGTCCGCCGATTTCCATAAGGATAAGCGCTCCTTCGGGTAACACTTTCTTAACTATGAATGGTTCTTGCCAATTGGGAGCAAACTTTCCTTTAACCTCCTTTTGCGCTGGAAGAATTCTTTTTAAAATCATATCTCCGACTTCAAACAAATGAGACTTAATTTTTTTGTTATAAGTACAGGTCATTTTTTGCTGATAACATTGTCTATGACAGACGGCATTCAACCTCTTTTTATCAATTAGAAACAACTGCTCATAGCGTTCCCTGACCCATTCAGTTTCTTCTATCTGAACCTCCATTAAAATGCATAAGGAATTTCAGCTTCTGCAGGCAACACTACTTCCATTCCATACATAAGAGAGTAAGGAGTTGCACCGGTAGAAGTTCTGATCGTAGTTCTGTACGCAATCAATGTATAAGGCAGTTTCTCATGCCAATCCTGGTGTACTTCAGTCATCTTACGAATGATCTTTTTCAAATTCTTATTTCCAGCTTCAACGGCTCCATTCATCTAAAACCTGTAAATGGTAGAATTTCGATGCCTGATCTTAAACTGTTCACGTAACCCATCCTCCATGTCATTATTGAGATTCTTAACATTATCCGTGATCAATGTTTCCGGTACACCAAAGCGACAGATGATGTTATTTCTCAAAAAAATCTGACACCACTTTCTTAGTCACATGCTTATAGGACGCGACCTCAACCCATTTAGTGAAATATTCAATCGCCACTAGAATGAATTGATGTCCATTTGAAGCAGAAGGATCAATAGATCCAATCACATCCATTCTCCACATCGAACATGACCACGGAGCAGTCATACTATGCAACTCTGTAGGAGGAGCGCGTATAACATCACCTTGCATTTGACATTTGATACACTTTCTGACAAAATTTACACAGTCATGCCCTATAATAAGCCAAAAATACCCTGATCTCATGATTTTCTTAGCCAGTAGATGCCCATTCATGTGTGGCCCATAAACTCCAATATGTACTTCCTTCATCATATAATCGGCTTCCTCTTCATTGATGCATCTCAGAAGGCCCAAATCAGATGTTTTCTTGTGTAACACTTCTCCATTCAAAAAGAATCTTGATGACAATCTGCATAAGAAACTTTTTACAACAGAATCAGCATCAGGAGGGTAGGATCCCGTTTTCATGAATTCCTTAATATCATTGTACCAAGGGCGAACATCAGAGACCCTTTTCATTTCCAGACAGTGCGCTGGCCTATCCTGAAGTTGAATTTGTATAGGTTCAATCACTAGCTCATCTGGATGTTGGATCATCGAAGACAGAGTAGCTAAAGCATTAGTAAAGGCATTACGAGTGTGAAGAATATGTCTGAGTTCCAAATTCTTGAATTTACTGGCCAAACTAAGCAAACTACAATGATACATCATAATTTTTGAATCTCGAGTTACCCACTGCTTAAGTGTCTGGTGCACAAGTAAATCGAAATCACTGAATGCTATCAGATCCTTGATCTCCATGTCCAATGCCATTTTCAATCCAAAAATACAAGTTTCATACTGGGCCATGTTGTTGGTACAAGGAAACCGTAATTTGGCAATAGCAGGATAGTGTTTCCTTGGTGACACTAAAACTGTTCCAATTCCAGTTCCAAAAGAATTTGGCACACCGTTGAAAAATAACTTCCATCCAAGATACTGCTCACTCATGTCCTCAACTGCTCCAATGAATAGAATTTCTTCATCAGGAAAGTAGGTATGCAATGGCTGGTAATCATCCTCTCTTGGATTTTCTGCCAAATGATCTGCTATGGTTTGGCCCTTGACTACCCTTTGTGTTGTGAAGACAATGTCGAACTCAGAAAGGATCATTTGCCTCTTAGCCATACGTCCCGTGGGCATCGACTTTTTCAACAAGTATTTTAGAGGATCAGAACGAGAAATCAGGTACGTAGTATAACCAAGCAAATAATGTCTCAACTTCTGAGCTGTCTATGCTAAAGCACAACAACTTCTCTCAAGGAAAAAATAGTTGGGCTCATATGTTGTAAATTTCTTACTCAGATAATAGATGACTTGTTCCTTCCTCTCAGATTCGTCATGCTATCCCAGAACGCATCCAACAGCTTCATCAAGAACAGACAAATACATAATTAGAGGTCTTCCCGGCTGAGGTGGCATTAAGACCAGAGGATTTAACAAGTAATTCTTGATCTTATCAAAAGATTGCTGATAGTTTTCATTCCAATCTATTGGCGCATTCTTTTTCAACAAAGATTCACAGGTAGAGGTTAACTGTGCAATGAATCGGCCAATGAAATTGATATTTTCAAGAAAACTTTTCACATCTTTTTGAGTTTTTGGAACGGACATATCTCGAATTGCTCTTATTTTCGCAGGATCTATCTCTATACCCTTTTTGCTGATAATAAATCCCAATAACTTACCAACCGGAGTTCCAAAAGCACATTTCACAGAGTTTAACTTCAAATTATACTTTTTCAACCTTTCAAACAATTTCTTTAAGTCAACCAAATGGTCATTGACCTTCTTGGATTTAATTATTATATCATCCACATAAATCTACATTTCTTTATGGATAATGTCATGGAACAAGGTAGTCATGATCTTCTTATAAGTAGCCCTAACATTCTTTAACCCAAAAGGTATCACTCGATAATAAAAGGTTCCCCATGGGGTAATAAAAGAAGTTTTCTCTCTGTCTTCTTCTGCCATCAAGATTTGATGATACCAAACAAAACAATCGTCAAAAAATTCAATCTCGTGTCCAGCAGTATTATCCAAAAAAATATGAATATTTGGCAACGAAAAATCATCTTTTGGACTGGTTTTATTCAAATCTCTGTAATCAATACATACTCGCACCTCTCTAGATTTCTTAAGTACTGGCACAGGATTTGAGAGTTAAATGAGATAATGAGAAACCATGATTATCTTGGCGTTGAGTTGTTTCACAATTTGTTCATTTATCTTGAGACTCATTTCTGGTTTGAATTTATGCAGCTTCTGCTTTACAGGTGAAAAATTCAGATCATTTGGCAACTTATAAACCACTATATCCGTAGAGATCCCTGACATATCATTGTATAGCCAAGCAAACATTTCTTGAAATAGTATTAAGAATTCAATCATTTCCTCCTTCTGTTTTTTATTCAAACGAATGCTGACTTTAACTTCTTTAACCTCCGTCTTAGTACCAATATTGATGATTTCTGTTTCTTCTAAATTCGATTTGAATTTTTTTCATACTATTTTAAATCCCTTGAAATGGACTCAAATTCTTCCTCAGCATCGTTCTCATTTTGAATTTCAGATTGCATGATTTCAAGTTCATAAGAGATATCGAGGTTGCAGCCGTCGAATTCCAAAATGGTGACATCCAAAGGGTCAAACGATTTTATTTATGGCCATTTGAAAATAGAATAGAACATACGTAATAAATAAATAGAAAATAATTTAAAATACAAGAGAAGTCTTTCATTTCATTAAATTCAAAATGCATTGAGACTTCACAAAATGATAATTATACAGATATGATTGCTATTTAAAGACACATCTAGGCCAAACCTTTCTTTCCGTTTCAACAATTTTCTTGAATAAAACAAGTTATATTAACTGAAACCAGAATAAAGGTCCAAAAATGAAAGTAATTTCTTTTAACAAAAGATCCAGACTACCGTCCTATCTGGATATGAATCTAGACAAAAGACAATCCCATTAAATTTATCAAAATTCTCTTCAAGAGAAAAGATAATTAGCAGTCCAATTTTGGATAGCTCTTTCGATAATTGGCAAAAATTTTTAATTCTCTGATGGCTCCTTCCCACAAATAGCCCCAACAAATATTGAAATAAGTCCACTTCAACTTCTTCGACGAGATTCTCCTTTTCTGACACAATTACCTCTGACGGTGTGATATAGCGGTGGGACATATAAGACAGTTTGCTTACCCTCCTTTTCAGTTTGTTTTCGAACTTGCATTTCTCTTCTATCCTTAGCAGTTGGATGAAATCCCAGTCCAAATATATTTTTTTGCGTCGGGATCTCTATTGGTTCCAAAATTCCTTGTAATTCCCGCCCAACACCTTTTCCTATTTCATATCCGCCTCGGATCATCTCTTTAGCCATCATGATGCTGGCCTCTGGCAAATTTGATTTAGTCAGCGACTTATCTCTGGATATTCATCTCACAGAGACGATATCAGCAATATGATGAGATGAAATTGGAGTCATTTTCCTGTCTTTACCTTTGAATTTTGCATCAATGATCATGGTACAGTCATCCTTAGCAAACACAGTAATGAGCTGATCATTCACAATAAACCTCAATATTTGATGCAGAAAAGATGACACTGAATTGGAAGTATGTATCCAAGGTTTTTCAAGCAAAATATTGTAAACACTGGAGAAATCTATGACTTGGCAAGTAACTTAGAATTAAGTAGGGCCTATCTCCAATAATAGATCTATTTCACCCATAGGTGCCTTCCTTGAACCATCAAATTCTCTAACCACAGTTGTAGACGGGCGAAATTTAATGTCAAGAAATTCAAGTTTAGTGAGAGTGTTCCATAGACAGACATTCAACGCTGACCCATTATCCACTAAGACCCTAGGCAACAGCTTTCTATTACAGCGTACTGATATATATGTAAAGCTCTGTTATGCCCAATCCCTTCTGCAGTCAAATTGTCATCGGAGAAGGCAATATGATTAGCAGCAAGTACATTCCCCACAATGTTAGAAAATTTATCCACAGAAATATCTTTAGACACTTGAGCCTCATTCAAGATTTTGAGTAATGTTTCTCTATGTAACTCGGAGGTCAAGAGAAGGTTTACAAAAGAAATCTAAGCAGGCATCCTATCCAACTGCTCTACTATTTTGTATTCACTTCTTTTCAGCATCTTTAGAAAATTCACATCTTCATTTTCAGACACAAGAAGCTTGGGCAGTGGAGAATTATCCTTGGCTCAGGATTGAACATCGATTTCGGGGTTTCCCACAATTCTCTCAGACCTGATAATAGTAGATACTCTTCCTTCAAGCATTTTTTATCTTCAATCAACAGAATAGGCTCCTTGTAGTTCCATGGCACCTCTTGCAAGTTATTGACAGGCATTTCTTTCGAAAATTTGAGAATAACAGGTTCTGATATATTCCATTCAAAAAATGGTAGATTCAGAATAAAATGATCTTTAGAATTGTCAACCTTGGAAGACTCTCCTTCTACTATAAATGGTTCCTCTTTTTCAAACACAAGAGATTTCAACTTTTCCTCAACATTATCATTAGTCATGGACTTTTCAGCAGACAACAGTTTTCTCATTCTTGCATGATCAGTTTCCATTATGCCAAACACCCCAGTTTCATCTAAATGTACTGAGTGGGATCGATAAAATTTTCATCAGCGATGATAACTCTTAAGTGCTCCCATATTCAGGTAAAGGATTCTTACTGACATTCGGTCCCTATTCTCCCTTTCTTCTAAGAAGGATGTCTCCAGAGTCAATCATATCCTGAATCTTGTGCTTTAGAACCCAACAATTGCTAGTGGTATGACCTGGACTTCCAAAATGATAAACATAGATTACTTGCGATCATAACCGGCGGGAGGACCTCTGGTATAGAGTTTGGGAGGAACGGTGCCAATTTTTCTAGCTATTTTTAATTGCTCATACAATTGATCAATAGGTCGGCCCAAGTTGGTGAATGTTCGAAATTACTTCTGAGTTTGAATTTCACTGGTTTGAAAAAGATTTTGAGTGGGGTTATCGTTTTGTAGGATTGGTCTGGGATGATAAATGGGACGGGAGAAATTTTGAAAGATAGATTGTGAGGTTGGAGGTAACACTGAGGTATTCAAGTGATTTGGCCGAGAATGATAGAATTGGGTAGTAGTGTGGTAGACCGGTTGAGGGTTAGGGTAATATGGGTAAGGAACAGAATAGGCAGGATGGTTTCGAATTCTGGGTTTGAAAGACGGGTCTTGATCCCATATAAAAGCAGTTTCTCATTCTTTCTTCTTGAACGGGGCTTTTTTCCATTGTTGTTTGATTCTGCAGAGTATCCAATTGCAACTTTAATGTCGATATATTAACAATCTTTCCTATTTTAACAAATTCATCGTACTCCTCCAACCTGTTAATAATAGCAGCAAACGAACTTCCAATCATATGAAAAATCTCTTCAAAATAAGGTGGATCGTGAGCCTTGATGAAAGTACGAACGATCTCCTCCTCAGTCATAGGAGGTTCCACTTTGGCAGCTAATTTTCTCCACCGCTTTGCATAGGTCTTGTAATTTTCTTATGGCTTTTTTTTCATACCCTCTAGTGTTGTTCGTGTCGATGTCAACTCACAGTTAAATTCATATTATTTTACAAAAGTTTTTGACAGGTCTAACCAGGTTTTGACCTCTCTAGACTTCAAATTTGAATACCAATCTAAAGCATCTCCCTCCAAACTTTCCAAAAATAGACGGATAGGCAAAATTTCATCATCCACAAGTTTACCTAACTTGTTGGCAAACATCTTGAGATGCATCTTAGGATTTTCAGTTCCATCATACTTACTGAACTTGGGGGTCTTGAATCCCAACGGCAGCTGAATATCTGGAAAAGATACAATTCATCGTAGTCCAACCTGCTAGCCTGCTCAATCCTTGATTCTTTTTCATAAATTCATCGAATCGATCCAACCTTCACAGCAGGTTCTTGTCAATAGGTGCGGGTTGTTCCTTCATTGCCGCCTTTCCTTGAGATGCAGTATCCCACACAAAGAGTTCTGTAATATGGTGGTCGTGTCCCTGAGGGTTGGGAGGAATGTTCAGATTGGCTTGCGGAATGGTTTGAGGGATTTGACTAG